AATTAATAATAAAATAAAATATTTGGTTATCAATGTAGAAATTTTTAGAATGCAATTTTCGAAATAACACTCTCATTTTCAAAAATTTAATTTTTTAGATTTCTAGAATAAATTTAGTGGAAGATATTGTTAGTAGGGACAGAGAGAGATTTTAAATGGTCTCATTGTATGAACCCTATCTTAAAATTAATATTCTTAAATTTATATTATAGATTACCATGTTATAAACATAAAAATTATAATTAGAACAATTATTCCTAGGTTGTATTAAAAATACTTGTTGTATTAAGAAATACCTTTTATTTTTTGACAAGAAATACTTGCTGTATTACCTTTTATTTATTTATTTGACAAGAAAAAGAAGAAGATGTTGCATTTCTTTTTTTTGTGCTGTTTTATTGCTTTTTTATTTTTTTACAAGAAAATAAGAAAATGATGGTGCCAAAGTACATTTTATTTTATATTTTTGTCAAGAAATACTTGTTTTATTACTTCTTCTTTTTTTTACAAGAAGATGTTGTATTACTTTTTTTAAGTAAAGCGTATTTTTTCTTTGATCATCTCGACATCAAGATGCATGGACATGAGAAAAAAAAATAGATTTCAAGTTTTGAAAATAGTGTATTTTGTAACGCATTTTTGGACCATCAATTTTCAAGATTTTCAAGTTTTCTTAGATCTCTCAAACGAAACTATTTTGGAAGCTTTAAACTTTATAAATAAAGATAAAAATATATTTTAAGACTATCAAAAAGATTTCAAGCATTGAAACCACATTTCTCGATACTATTTGAAGATAAGCTCTAATTTGATTGTTTAGAGCCTAGGCTCTATACAAAGCACACCCTTATTTTTTTGATGATATTACTTTTTTTGTTTTATTTGTTTAATACCATAATTTATGAAAATATATTTTAAGACTATAAAAAAGATTTCCAGCATTGAAACTACGTTTCTCGACGCTATTTGAAGGTAAGCTCTAATTTGATTGTTTAGAGACTAGGCTCTATACATATCGCACCCTTATTTTTTTTTGATGATATTACTTTTTTTGTTTTATTTTTTTTAATACAATAATTTTTTTTTGAGGACAAAAAACTACACCCTTATTTTTTTGATGATATTACTTTTTTCGTTTTTTTTTTCTTAATACAATAAATTTTTTTGAAGGCAAAAGTAAAAATGCAATATAGCATCACTAGGGTTTGACCTTGGGAGATCCGAAGAAGAACCACAAATGTGTTCGACCTTGGGAGGTCCGAAGGAGAACCACAAATGCTAACCACGGCAACCTATTGCAGGTTGTTGAATAAATTGGTATAATAATATTTATATTGAATAACGTTTCAACGTTATATCACTGGCTCAAATCCCACATCGAAGAATTAGAGAAACTTTCAATGCTATAAATACCTCTTTCAATGTCGTCATTATAAATGTGATGAAGAAGAGATGCGGAAGTACACCTGCGGTCCATAATTTTAAACTAAATTATCAAAACATCCTTAGTGACTCGCCAACCTCGTGACGTCATTGTCCACTTGGAATACGAAAACATCCTCAGTGACTCATGTTTTCAAGTATGTTTTCGTATTTGTTTTCTACGAATATATCCTCAGTGACTCGCCAACTCCCAATTGGAAGGAATCGTACGAAAACATCCTCAATAACTCGCTAACCCCCACTTGGAAGGAATCGTACGTAAACATCCTCAGTGACTCGCCAACCCCCACTTGGAAGGAAATCGAACGAAAACATCCTCAAGTTTGTTTTCTACCAAAATATCCTCAGTGACTCACCAACCCCCACTTGGAAGGAATCATACGAAAACATCCTCAA